CTCAAAAGACATGTTGCAACTTCTGTCCCTTTAAATGCCTGGTTTCTTGACACTCTTCCCTGTTCACTCCGTCTGGGAAGCCAGCTGTGATGCCACGAGAAGCTCCAGCCACGTGGAGTTCTACGTGGAGGCGCTGTGGTTGGCAGGCTCCACTGAGCTCAGCCTTTGAGTCATCACAGCCCAGAGACCAGACAGATGAGTAAAGACGTCTTCAAATGAACTCCTGCCTCTAGTCAATCAGATCTTCCTGATGAGTCCCTGGAGGTGACGGAGCAGGGACAGTCACCCCTGCCATGGCCAGCCTGACTCTCTGACCCACAGAATCTGTGAGCCTAATAAAACGAAGTTTGGGTAATTTATTATGCACAAGCAATAACAGCAAAAGTTAATAAACAGTCCAAAAAATCATTACTGTGACTTTGCTTCCTGATCCTAGGAAGATAGACTAGCTAGAGAAGAAGCTCAGTGAACTCGTTTAATCTACTTCTGGCCTGACAGGTGAAATGCCCACCTGCTCTGGAACTGCAGCTCCATCATTTAAGATTTCAGAGAACACACTGCTCATAGTTCAACGAGAGACTGAAAGAAAAAAAGTACCCTTCCCTCTATATTGACAATTTTACCAGTGAAGGAATTACCCAGATGGTCTGGTGCTGGATTTATGATGCTACACCCGTAAATGCTCAAGAGGTTCGAGTTGATGGGATTAAACCCAGGGATGCTGGAAGGACACCAAGACGTCTGCTCCCCTTCCTGCCCAGTGTGACCGCTGTAAATAAAACTGGACAGGCTTTCTTAAGTCAACTTAATAACGTGCAGCACAAGTGCTTTCAGATGCCCAGTAGCTAAACCACATCAGCTTTCTGAGGACGCCTTCTAGCAAGAGGCGAAAATAATAACGGATTCTGCCAAGAATGGTGTGCACCGGGGAGCTGGTGGCCTTGCGTGACTCATTTCACAAGGCTCCATCTCTCTGTACTGGAAGGTCAGAGTGGGAAGGAGCTGGCCTTTCATAAGCAAACTGCAGCCTCAGACTGACTTGAGAGCCAGATGCTGGCATGCTGGAAGCAGATGACAACACAGTTATAATCGATCTGGAATCCTGATGGAGTCCAGGTGCACGTCCCGGCAGCCTGGGGGAGCTGGTAGCTCAAAGCCCTCAGAGAGTTTGATTACGGTCAGAGGAGGCGCTTCTGTTGCAGAGTCTATGGGGCCTCAGGACTTCTCCCCTCGGATTTCAAATGGGAGTATGTATGGATGGATGGATGTATTTATTTATTTATTTTTGCCTGGGTTTTGGAGACTCTTAAAGGCAATTTCTCAGATATCATAGACTATAATGGAAAAAGATAGGAAGACTAAGACAAGTTGAAGAGATCAAGATCTACATAGAAAGTCCCTAAGGAAATTGGATTAAACACAGTGTTTCATCACTCCCCAGTGGGGCTAGTTGGTGTCCTTAACCAGCAAGTGCAGTCTATGACCCAGCGGACCGCTAGCCATGGTCCATGCCATTTGAGAGAAGAAAAAGCATGACCAGAACCCCAAACAGTGTTCATGGAGGCGAGGTGTCCAGGGCACAGCATGAGAGACCAGCCCCACGTCAGAGCGCCTGCCCGTTCCCCAGGCCCGACTCCCCACACCCTTCCAGTCAGCCCTTCCCTCTGCGCGGCCGTCAGTTTCTGCTTCTTGCAAACAAGCCCCTGAACTAATGTAAACACCCAAAGAATGACCTTTCCTTCCAAATGTCTTTTCTTTCTAACTGGCAGGCCAAATGCTCAAAAATACATATTGCCATGCAACTAAGAAAGTATGAATTTAAGGAAGATGGTAATATTGTCTTCCATGTGGCTAAACTAGCCAATAAGACCGAACATGACTCCTTGTTCTCACCCTGCCTGGTCCTCAATTCAGGACCTTATAAATTCTCATACGGAGATTCTCAACACCAAAACTAGGCGCGTTAATTCTCTTCATTTAAAAACACTTTTTTTCTAAGAGAACAGAATTCAAGGAGAATAATGGCTGACTTCATGGTTTGGTTTTCATCTACCTACTGCTACACTCATATCATCATACGTCACAAACCATGATTGGTACAAGTTTGCCATCTTTTATGTAATTAAAACTCATTTATCATCATCTAGATTAAGGTGCTTCCTCAGTAACATCAGGCATAGGCCCCAACCTCCACACCCACCAAAACTCCCGCCGTGGGTTAATATTCTTAACACCATCAGATATCATTACATTGGAAGTGCTTCCTATTTTCCTAAAACATGTACTTCAGACATTATAAGACATGCAGCAAGATTCTTAGGGGGGGAAAAAACCCCAAAGTTGTTGGGATTCTGAATATTAATTGAAATGTGAGAAAATGATCTAATCAGACATAAAAATCTATCAAGAGATAAAAGATTCCTTCCTTCAATTTACATTTGAATTAAGGAGTGGTGGGCAAATCAGACAGAATAGATTATTTGCTCAAGAAATATAGGGCAAACCCTGCTATATATATGATGTTGGTCTTTAAATTTCCCCGTAGCATCTGTTGTATATTGCAGCAGTGTGCTCAGCTGTGCTCTGTCAGTGGTCCATGCACAAAGGGGCTGGCTACTTTAATGCATATTACTTTATGCAAAAATAAACAGATGCCTGATACTGAACCCCACCACCACCATACCCCATTCCCCACTGTAAAAACAGGGGTTACCCTTCCATCCTTCCTAAGGAAATAAATGGGATCCCAATTTACTAAATGAAATAAAAAGCTTTAAAAACAACCTTCTTGAGGGCAAAAACTCCCCTGGCCCTACTCCCTGGTCTCCTGGTACCTGGTGTGGTACTCCCTGCCAGAGACAGCTCAGAAGGTATTACTCACTGACCAAAACCCTGTTTGCCAAGGCATCTGAGATCACAGGACAACTTTTCCTAATCAGGAACAGCTGGCTCCCAAACCACCCTCAGCCCAGAGGATTCCAATGACATTTTGGCTACAAAGATTACAGAATACACCCTTCACTGTGATGTTTAAGGAATAAAAGATCCGCTCACATAAAGATGGGAGTAAAAGAAGGAAAGGGGTAGGGATTTACAAGATTCTGGGCTGTAAGTGGCATTACTTTAAAGAAAAAAACAGTTTCAATACAAAATCATTTTTTTCACCCTAAGGCTTGAACAGGTAAATAGGTGGATGCTCTTGTGACCAGTCCCTAAGAATCCCAGTTTCTCGGGGACGTGCTCCTGCCCTGTCATCGTCCGCACGGCTTGGTCTGTGCACACGCACACCGCGGCCTGAGGTTAGTGCAGGCCAGCAGCGCGCGCAGCACCAGCTCTGTCCTGTCCCCTCCCCCACGTGGCGCAGGTGCTCACAGATGCACCTGCCTGCCCAAGGAGAATCAGGACTTAGACACCCACCTCTACTCTCTTACACTTACGGAAATGAGGCAGCTTTTAGTCAAGGCTCTAAAAATTCAAAGTCAAAATTAATTAGTTCTCATCACGACTAGCGCGTTATTAGATTTAGAGTAAAATTACTTTTTTTTTCCAACTAAATACACACTACACCTAAATGCCTACCATATAGGATTCTGGCACCAGACAACTACAACAATTCTGCCAGTGTTTGTGTGCCTACCCTGAGTAGGAAAGGCACTAAAAAACAAAATTAACATTCGTCCCATGAATCACTGACTTTAATGAATATTGATTTAATGAATAATGATAATTTTAGGACATAATTTGACCTGCAGTATAATCAGATGCTCATTACATAGCTCATATTAGAACAAGGGTCACTGATAACCGTAGAGTATGTGCTTCCAGCATGAAAATGATTTGCTACATGATGTGTTCAAAGGAGGTGGGGGGGAGGGGGTCCAAGGTCCTGTCTAACTCAGTATTTCCCTCAGGAGAGTCACACAGAACTGGGCCCGAACATCGCCTGAAATGAAGTTTAGCATAAGGAGCACCAAACCCTGGTCCTGGCTCCGCCCCTGACCTGGCTATGTGACCACGGGCAAACAAGGTATTTGGAATCTTAGTCCATTCTTCTGTAACGGGGAGATACTAGTATTTATCTCATCGATGTTCGTATAGAATCCAGTGATTCCCTGTGTGTACCGGGCACAGCCCCTGGCCTAGCGTAGGTCCTCAATAAATACCAGCTGGGTTCGACTCCAGAGGCTCCCAGGAAAGATAGTCGGGAAGTCCCTCTGAGAGCCGGATTTTAATCCAGCTGTGGTGTTAATCCAGGAGTACCTGGAATGGAACAGGATCGGCAGAAGAAGGCCCAGCTCGGCTGAGGGCGCCATGGCCACCTGGGCTCCAAGTGCCTTCCATTACTTTCGTAATGTCTCACCTCGCAGCAGCCTCAGCTGTCAGGCTCACACTAGGAGAGCTAACGGGCTTGGCCACTAAGGGAAACTGGCTATGACTTCAGTTATGATGTCTTGATACTTTGGGCTAGAATCTCTGGTGTCATGTTATTCACATAGAATTGTTTCTTCTTTTGTTGTCATTTTATTTCCATTTTCAACCATGCATGTCCATTGTTTTACTGTTTTCCTGTGAAGAATCACCTGGTTAAGATTACAAACTGCTAAAATCAGTTTGATAAGTTCTTCATAGCATCCAGCAAAGAATGATAATACATATGATTTAAGGAAAACGACTATGAAATTTATATGGTGGATGCTCAAGTATCAACCATAATGAAAACCACACACATTTAACAAAACCTGTTTTCAAATTGGCTATTTCCTGTTCTCTGAAGGAGAAGGATTACTGCAAACAGTCTTTAACTTCTCTTGGAAATAGACGCCGTTCCATTTAAGCTATTTAGACTAAGTTCATTACTACTCCCTCAGTGACGTCTTAGAAAAGTAACTATTATACTCCCTAGGCCCTAGAGTAAATAAAAAGATTAAATCATTCTTTCCAAAGATGTCCAAATGTAAGATGTTCATGTGAGGATTCTTTTTAAAACTAAAGAGTCCTACCTCCTTGAAGTTGTCAAACGCTGATAAAATGATCTCGTGTCCGCCTCTGACAAGACACACGGCTGCCAGCAGCTCCAGCACAAGGGCTTTGGTTCTGTCAAAACAAGGAGAAAAAGGAAAACCACAAATCAGCAAAACTGACAGGCCGCATCAGTTGTTCCTCGCTTCCAAGATCAATATAATAAAATATTTGTCTGTGTATGTTTTTTTAAACTTTTACTAAGGTACAGTTATACCAAAGTACATATTTAAACCTTTACCTACCTCTATAATATGTGTTTTATCGAGGGTAGCAAATTTGGAAGGCATGTTCCCACTCCCTACGTTACAAATTCCTCACGAATGAAAATTGATTCTGGAAAGATTAGTCTTTTAGTCTCATCCTCGGATGACTGAGGACAGTGTGGCTGAAAAAGTTTTACTAGTGAGCTAAAGACGACGACAGGATACTGGGGAATATTCAGAAAAACCACCCACTGGTTAAATACTGTCTCTGGTTTTAGAGTCGGAGATATAACATTTGCCAAGGAAGTTCAAAATCATTGAAATTAATGTCCCACATGTCCCATCTGCTCATTTGCACACGGTGCCACAAAAACCCCTATGACAATGCAAGTTTCCATCATGCTTTCTTCCTCTGCAGGAGATCTGAAAGGGCTGGACTTCAGCTCTACGAATACAAGAATATTTTCTGTGACTCAAGGAAAGAAAATAAAACTCTGTCTGAAATATTTTTATAAGGAGAACCTAGAGACACGTTCCAAGTTTTTTAACACAATGTCAAGGAGAGCATTGTTTCTTCATCCTAAGACGACTTCGGTATTTCATCATTTTCCGGAATAAAAGCTATTACTGACCTCTAAACAAAGACCGTTCTGATAACCCACAATGTCAATTATCTTAAGAAAAATGATTAGTGGCTCCTCTGTGGGGGAAGGCAGGGACACAGGGGCATGCCTGCTTGGGATTCTAGTAAACCAAGGAAGCAATCACAAAGATGCAAAAGGTTCTAATCCGGGAATGTTTGAAATAATAATATCAACATCAAAATACTTCAGGGTTTGCATTGCATTCCAGACCAGAAAGGATCTAATTTGTAACCAGATTTCTTTACTTGAATCAACAGTTTTCAGATACATATTCTATGCAGAGGTATCTGACAAAAGAGAATAACACATTTCAAATGCAGAATGCCTCACCAGAATGTAAAAAAAAACATTAAAATAACTAAAATGAACTGATGAAGACAAGCTCCTAGAAGTAATCTATGATGTGAATAATATATGGCACTGGCCTTTATGGGAAAGGGAATATAAAGTGAAATCTGCATGCACAACTACTTTGTTTGTTTGGTGATAAAAACTACATATCTGAATATTGCAAGTGAAGTGTGGACAAGGGATTGTGGTTCTAGTTAGCTTCTGGCAATACCTGGTGTAGCTAAATCCAGATCAGTACTGGCAACCCGGCAACCTGATGCTCTCCAGCAAATTTTGCTACATTTGCAAGGATTGCTGCAAACCAGGCCTCAAAAGGAATGAAAGCTTAGAGAGAAGAGAGAAGGAAGGGCTGGAGTTGTCACTGGTTGCCCAACTCTGCCACGTGTCAGAATGTAACTTAACTGGTCTACATAGCCAAGGAGTCTACTGGCAATCTCATTTCAAAGAGTCTCACTTGGAGGTTTCCAAACTCTAACTCAGGTTAGAGTTAACTAGTTCTCTGCTGTCCCTGGTTAGACTCAGACTTGTACATCACGATCAAGCTTACCTTGGGTTCTTGTTGTTCAAGCTCAGTGCAATCTCGTTGACAGCGTGTGGGTGAGACATGACCATGTTGAAACCATACTGAAATTAAGGTGGAAAAACAAACCATTAGGAGTCAACCTAGGGTGCTGTCAATGTTGATTAAAAACAAAAACCTGAAGTTTCTACCTAAGGTAATTTCTACCATCTTTAAATGCAACTCCGTCTCTAGTACCTCCGTGTCTGAACATATTTCCCAGAAGAATTTCAGGAATGATGATACTAACAAGAGAACTTATTTCCATTCTGTATGAATGAACTACATGTTTCTCTTTATTAAAATGGTTAAAAGGTTCCAGCCCAGTGATTCTTAATCCTGGCTGCTCATTAAAATCACCTGAAAGAGGAAACAAAACAAAACATTGAAGCTCAAGGACGGGACCCTGGCATCGGCATTTGTTGACGCTTTCAGGGTGACCCCACCCCTCAGCCAGGCTAATAATCACTGCATCTAGTCCCTTCCCTGTGCCACGGCAACCAGGACCAAAAGCCTAGGAACACCTCTGTTGCTCTGAGGCATGTTACCTCCTCATCCTTCTATAAAATGAAGCAAGTTCAATAACAGGCTCAAGAATCATTCTTGATTCTGCTGAGTTGAGAAATGATTGCTTTTCCTCCAAACTCAGGTCTCAGCTCGTGACTTTATTTGCAATGACACTGAGAAAATAGGAGCAGAAACAACTTCCAAAAGCTTCCACCATCACACGAATCCTCCCACATGGATCTGGGGGTTACCACCTCCCCTCTTCCTAAAGGTGAATTCTCCCATGCTCCAGTCAAAGGCCAGTGCCTCCCCTCGATCCCACTCCTTCACACCTGCAATTTTCCCATCCCCCGTCGTTATTTTCCCCTCTCTGATTCATTGCCCTTAACATAAAACATGATGCAAATGATCTTACCAAACAATCAAATCTCTCTTGCCTCTACAGCCACTGTTCAGCTACTGCCTCATGTCTCTGCCCCTATGGCCAAACCCTAGCACGCAGTCTCATTCCTCTCCTCCTGTTCCCTCCTGAAACCACTCCAATCGGGCATTTCATCACCACCACTCAGCAAAACTGTTTGTGCTGAGATCACCGATGTCCCCCACATTGCTAAAGCCAATGGCCAAGTCTCAGTCCTTCTCTTACACGACGTAGCGGCACTGGACACAGCCGTGCACTCCCTTGAAACATTTCCTGCACTTGGCATCCACCTCCCTGACTCCTTCTCAGTCTCTCCAGCTAGTGTAGTGCTTCCTCATCTCTCTGACACTGAAGCAATGCCCTGTGGTTATCTGGGATCTCGTTGCGTCTCTGCGCATCCCTGTTATCTCATTCACTTCCCTGGTTTCATGTACCATCTACTGACTCCCAAATTCGTACCTCCAGCCACACCTCCGCCTTGAACTCCAGATGGCATATCCAACCACTCACTTAAGATCTTTATTGGGATGTCCATGGACATCTCAAAGTTAACATCCTCCAAAAAGAACTCCTGATCATGTGTCCCAGATCCGCTCTTCCTGCAGCCTGTCGCCTCTAAGTACAAAGCACCTCCATGCAAGGGTGGGGAAACTTTTCTCATCCAAGGGCCATTTGGATATTTATAACATCATCCACGGACCATACAAAATTATCAACTTATAAATCAGCCTGCTATATTTAGTCCAGCTAATTTGGTGAGTTGTGTGATGTTAGCTGGTATTGAGTTCTTGGGCCTTCTACAGCCCGTGGGCCTGACGTTCCCCACCCCTGACAGGTGCGCAGGGCAAACACCTGGGAGCCACTGTATCCATGCTACTGCCTTTATCATCAAAATCAAACCAGAATCTAGTCACCTCTCATCATCTCTACTCCTGTAATCCTGGTCCATACCACCATCAACACTTCCCTAAATTAATGCAACAGCTCCTAAATGGTCTACCCCCTTTGTAGCCCCCCACCCCAAGGTTAATACTAAACACAAAACCCAGAGCGATCATGTTAAATTCAAGTGTCAGATCAACTCCTGCTTTCCCTCAGAACCTCTAACAGCCTTTCACTCACAGCGAAGCCAACGTCCTTTCACTGGCTCATAAAGCCTACTCCCTCAGGGAGCCCCGTCAGCCTCAGATTTCATTTCTACTTTCCCGCTCACTCATTCTGATCCAGCTAACCGGGCCTCCTCTCTGTACCTTGACCACATCAGACATTCCTGTCTCAGGGCCTTTGCCCTTCCTCTTCTCTCTGCCTGGACTCTTCTTTCTATAATATCCCTTACCCTGTTCCCTCATTTGTTACTAAATGTCTTCTTGGTGACACTTTTCTGGCTGGTCTATGTAAAACTCAAAACACATTTTCATCACTTCCTATTCTTATTTGATTATTTTTTCTACAGCACTTAGTAATAGATCTCTGGAGCCAGTCTTCACGGGTTCAAATCTGGCTCCATCCCTTATTAGCCGTATAATCCTGGGGAAATTATTTCTCTGTCTTATCTGTCAGTTTCCTTATCAATAATATGGGGAGAGTAATAGCACCAATCTCATAGGTCTGTTATGAGACTTACATTAATTAATACGTTTAAAAGCACTACACTTATAGGAAATACATACTTATACATGTTAGTTTTCATTTCATCATCAGTCTTATCTGGAACACCCATTTATTATCATCTGTCTCCCTCAGTAAGTTCTCTAGGGCACTTATTTATGTAATGCTGTATTTCCCGTGCCTAGACCAGGCTCCAACAATGCTCAAAATATATTCACTAACTGAAAAAGAATAAATGCTTGTTGCCCTTCTTGAATTCAATTCAGCTCCATGACGTTGGGTTTGAACTCAATAACCAACCCTCAACGTGGTATTTATTTTCCTTTTCTTCTTGGACCCACTTGTAGCATCCTTATAAATGGAAATGAAATCCTATTTTTATATATGAATTATATAGTTTCTCATTCTCATCTGGTTTGTTTATACCTTTGACCATGTCAGTGCACCCTAGATATTCCAGGCTCTAACTTCCACTTCATTGTTAGGATTAATCCAACCGACACACTGCCTCTCTCCCCCAGTGTTTCTCAGAGTGGAGCTAACCTACCTCACAATCACCTGAAGAAGGAATTCACACCGGAAACAAGAACCCTCCCGGTGCTTCTTATCAATGGGCTCACTGGGTCCAGCAGAAAGTAATTTTAACTTCTTACCTGTTCACCTCAGAACCCTTGGAGACCAATGACCAACCCAGCGTGGAAGTCTGTGCATTCCTAATGTTCTACAACCAACTACTGCCTGCAACCAATGGCTTGCCATCTTAAATGGTCACAAACAAGTTTATCATGGTAGGAGGCAAACATCTTCCCTTTAAATACATTATAAATGCTAATTAAAATATGAGGGCAATGAATTAAATCTTAAACCTTCCTTTTTCAACAGAATCTTATTCAATCCTGGTATTTACTTCAAATAGCAATAATACAAGGAAACCCAAAAGGACAAGATTGGAGTTGGACAAATTCAGATTTTTTTCAAGGATCAGAAACACAAACATACCTGATAATTCATGATGGCTCGCAAACACATGATACAGACATGTACGTCATCTTTCTTACTCACTAATCTTGAATTTTTCAAGGTTCTTCTGCTTGGCAAAGTATTATATCTACAAACAAAAAGGGAAACTTCTATAAATCTACAGATCACATGCATTTAAAAAACGGACATTGTTCTCTACCTTTACCTGCATCTAACTGAGGACTGCAGGTCAAACCCACCAACAATTCACTTGTCACCACAAAGCTATTTCTGTAGACTGTGAGGCCTGCATAATTGTGTGTAGTGGTCATCATGTGCCAGTCTAGATATCCATGGAGAATGAAACTCAACTCCACTCAGCCATATAACAAATCAGACTGTACGTGGCATTCAACAGCAATCCACAGCACCCGATCCGTAGGCCGAGCAAGATTTGCAGAGGTGATCTGAAGCAACATGCATGTGGATTGCATTTTCCAACAGGTGAAGGGGTGAAACTTAGCTCATATATAGCTCCAATCATTGACACTGTCTTAACTGCACCTTCCCATGAGCGCTCTCAGGAGTCCGGGATTTAGAGTTTAAGCCTAGGCAAGGTCATACATTTGCAACTCTGATATCAGCCTGTGATGTTGAACCTTAATGGTGCGCGTAGCCTTAACAGTACACAAATGCTGCACAGCCTGGTCCCTCAGCTACAGCCTGGCCTGGCAGCTGAAAGCTGGAGGGAACATGCTGCTATTTCCCAGGTTAAGATGTGTCGGTGTTAGGATCCATTCTAGAGACCCAGCACTGCTCAGCCTTATTAGCTCTGTCTGGAGACTTAGCGGTCTGCAAGTAGTAAAGTGACCATGTAAAGTAACAGGTGCAAGTAGAAAACATGACAACACTGAAGGCTTCAGCGTGCGCTGCAAATGACGGCCTCTGGGGGCAGTTTTCTCTGCAACTCCAAGCCTGAAATCAAGCCAAACGCAAAAGTTGTCAACTACTTTCCCACAGACAGTCAATGACAGACATGTTCCGCAAAATAAGCTACAGCCCTTCCTTCTCGAATGGAACTAATTTAAAACTTTAAGGAAGTTATGATTAATACTGTTTTCAAAATCCCACAGGTGCAGGCTGGGAGTTGAAAACTGAACTGACAGTTTTGCCTGAAACTGTTCAGCTAAGCAGCCTGTTTAGATTTTATTTTCTATTCAAAAACTAGCAAATAGAAAAAAGATGATTCTTTCACATGAGCCTACTAATGAGCCAAATACATTTTTTTTCCTAGAGAGAGGAAGGACGAGAAATAGAAATGTTGATGAAACATCAATCGGCTGCTCCCACACTCACTGACCAGGGATCAAACCCACAATCTGGGTATGTGCCCTGACCAGGAATCGAACCTGCCATCTTTTGGAGTACAGGACAATGCTCCTACCAACTGAGCCACCCGGCCAGGGCTGAGCCAAATACATGTTCGGTAACACTTCAATAAGTCCCTTGCCTCAATATACCTGAATGTGTAAAACTTAGTTTGCCCGTCACGCCAGTTACAGGAATGCTGTACTCAAGGGCTTTCACATCATTCACACTGGGAACAAACTTTGAGCAACAGAAGTTGACCTAATTCATTTTTGAATGCCAAGTTAAGGAAACAAATTCACATTTTGATGTAAGCCCAACTTCAACATCTAATACATAACTTTAAAATGTGTCACTCTGCCATAACCCCAGCCAAAGCATGACTGCCCGCATGCTTGGGGGCGTCTCACAGGGATCGGTGCGCCTTCGAGCAATAACCACACACCAGTCTGACCCGAGGCTAGCTGATCTCCTTAGTCCACATCTGAAATTCTTTCCCTTCCTCCACCATTCTCATTTGAGCCTCAGTTTTCTGTTTTAGTGAAATCACTGTTAGGTATATAATAGATGATTACAGAAATAGTTATCATTAATAATTAAAAGCAATTGCTGCCAGTGTTAAAGTATCTAAGAGTAAAGTTTTAAAAAGAAGGAAAAGGCAATGTCGAGGGAAATCAACTGTCCTTTGCTAAATTGTATTCATGTGCAAAAATGACGGCAGAGATACATTGACCAAAGCAAACTGCTCCTTAAGGAAGGGGGAGGGGTCATTCTACATAGTCGCATGTTTCTGCATCGCTTCAAAATCAAGTTTAGTGATTCCAGCAAGTGGATCAAATGTATACATTTATGATGTGTCCTAAGAGATGTAAAATAACATAACAGGACCCTTACTTTTATTTATTAATCTAGTTCTTCAGCTATATTATTATAAGACTCTAAAAACCAAAATGTCTTTGCTATTACTTACTTGCAGAAACCAGCAAAAATTGATTAATTAGGATAGTATTCTGTGTTTACTAAATATTAACACAAAAGGCTTCTCTTTATTGAAGTAGGCAATTACAAATATCTATGCTCTGGATCAAATATTAAAATATGTTTAGTATGAAATAGCCCGTGCATATTTATCAATATTTAAGGAGTTTAGAATATATTCAATATATAACATGTCAATAAGTGAAACAATGTATCTACTTTATTAATGATAGTCTATGGTTCAAAACAACAGAACTAAGCTTTTTACTAAAGTGCATGGTATTTAATCTAAAATTATTTTTCTCTAAAAAGAGAGTGGGTATTAAAAATAACATCTGCCCTGGCAGGTTTGGCTCAGCAGTAGAGCATCGACCCGTGGACCAATGGGTCACAGATTCGATTCTGGCCAAGGGCACGTACCTCAGTTGTGGTTCGTCCTCAGCCCTGGTAGGGATCATGCGGGAGGCAACCAGTCAATGTGTCCCTTTCATGTTGATGTTTCTCTCTCCTTATCTCTCCCTTCCCCTCCTACTCTATCTGAAGATAAATAAAAAAATATCCTCAGGTGAGGATTAAAAAAAAAAAAGAAAAAAAAGAGCAACATCTGAACTTGCATTTAAAATCAGAGCATTATGATAAATACAAAAACACCATCACAACCAGTAAGAACAAAAATCATAGCAATGACAGCCGAAGGAGATCTGTGATGTCACTTACACCAACCTTTCCTGATAAAGACGCGAAAACTGAAGCCTGAAGAACTTAGCTCCTCACAGCAAACCAAAGGCAGAAAAGAGGTGAGCTGAGCCCAGACCAGACCCCACATCTCCTCACTGGGACTCAGGGCAGCCACTTTCTACAGGCTGCTCTCAACCTGCCTCCCTAACCATCTGTCCGGTTGTCACATGCCAGAGCTACCGCCCACAGCCGTATGTGCTGACAACCTCCTTGTCAAGTGTTCGCACCCTGTCATCCTGAGGGTGCTTTCTGCTCTGGTCCTCCATAGGTGTCCTTCTCCCCACCCTGTAAGATAACGCATCTGCATATCTTCTTCGAAACCCAGTGGCCAGTCCACTCACTAAGCAATGTTTTCTTTTCAAATCTTGATCCTATATCACTCCCCAGGAAAGTGAGAATGTGTTTTAACTTAATAGGAAACTTTGCTCTGCACTATATTTTGAAATATTCATTCTAAAAGAATTTTCTCCATTAAGTAAATGTACTTGATTAAAGTTACAACTCTTTCCTTAGTTTAGGGTCACCTTAAACCTCCAAGACTACATTTTAGGGACTATGCCACAGGTTAGCATGTACATTAATCTATTATTCAGCATTTACATTTTATTGAATTTGACAATCTAGATACTAAGATATTTGATTTATTTGCTTTACCATCTGAATAACTTATTACACTTTTTTCCCCCCTTTTGGACAGGTTTTAAATTTAACTGCAAAGCACAAGAGTGATAATATCCAAAAAGCCTATTCCTGTGGAGCTGGTTTTAATAATTCCCCCAAGTTGACTCCAAAATACCAACTGCATTAGGACTAACACAGACACCTAGACAGGGTGAGCCCTCTGAAGAGCTGGCCTCTGGTACCCTCTACCAGCACAAAGAATCAAACCAAATCTCTGTTGAAGCCCCAGAGTTGATTTTATTAGGCAGCTACTCTTGCCCGACCAGTGTGGCGCAGTGGTTGAGCATCGAACCAAGTACCAACAGGTTCCAGTTCGATTCCCCATCAAGGCACATGTCCAGGTTGTAGGCCCAATCTCCAGTGGGGGGCATGCAGGAGGCGGCCAATCAATGTTCTCTCTCATCGATGTTTCTATCCCTCTCTCCCTCTCCTTTCCTCTCTCTCTAAAATCAATAAAGAAAAAAATTTTTTTTTTTAAAAAGCATGTACTCTTTATGCTAGATTCCACTAAATGCTAAGGGAAAATGAAGAATAAAGATGTTGTTAGGGCCCTCAAGGCCTTTACCATCCAGTTTAGAGGCAACAGATGGTTATCATCGATAGCCCTGTATTACATGTGCTCTGTCCACACTCCAGCCCCAGCCTACCCCGTCTGTCGCATATACATTATAAATGTGTAAATACACTCAATAACAACCTGTACAGCACAACATGGTGGAGTGAAGACAGTCACACCTTCTCAAAGGAGAACTTTTTTTGCAAAGTATCATACTTAAAATCCTCATATAGTCAACCTTTTCCGAATCAAACCAGACTTAACTGAGTTAATATAGACTTACTCTTGGTTACTGACTTTAGGCATATGGAAGTTGTTTTTAAATGGGGCTCTTGGTTGCAGTTTGTCCCCAGCCCCAGTTGGGGTCGTGTAGATGACAACCAATCATGTGTCTCTTTCACATCGATGTTTCTCTCTCTCTCTTCCCTCTAACTCTATCTGAAGATAAATGCAAAAATGTTCTCAGGTGAGAATAAAATATATCTATATCTATCTACCTATATCTATATCTATATCTATCTATCTATATATATATATGCACACATATATAAATATATATCTATATCTATATATATATGCACACATATATATAAAATGGGGCTCTAATTCAAGAAATAAATATAAAAGGAATGGACTCTGGTTGGGGTCATGCAAGAGGCAACCAATCAATGTGTCTCTCTCACATCAATGTTTCTCTCTCTCTCTCTCTCTCTCCTTCCTTCCCTCCCACTCTATCTGAAAACCAATGGAAAAAATATCCTCAGGTGAGGATTAAAAAAAAAAAAGGAACGGACAAGTTGTGGGATGAGTATCATGAAGATGACATG